GTCTCATCATCCCTTTAGCCAGATTGGACTATGTGAAGCCATCTGGTCTTGGCTTCGGTCTACTCCCCATCGAGCCACCATAAATAAGTTGTATGGAATTTTTGATCTTATTCTCTTCCGAATAACTGGTTCTAACATTTTTTTTATGAAGCTTTTAAATTTACTAAGTTGGGATGCTAGTTGTATGGTTTTTTTCTTCAGTAAAATTCTAACAAAAACCCGATTAAATATCCAAATTAACTTTTACATTCTTGCGTGGATATCTAACTAAAGACGTTTTGCAGTTCAACGTAGATATAGCCTAACGACGAGCCTTAAAGCTAAGATGTACAGCTAGAATCAGAATGGTTTCCCCAAAAGTATTTGGTTCAAAAAGGAAAAATGAGAAGCTCCACACAACCAAAAGATCTCAGTTATGAGGTAAGGACGAAACGTAACTCTCACCCATCATCCAACCCTCTGCGAGTATTACTAGAATTTCTCTACAATCTTGTTAGTAAATTAGTTATAATACGAATTACATGTTTGACTTCGCCTACTTTGTAGTCTGTTATTCAGATTAGGTTTGTCCCTAGATTTTAATATAAAGCTACTTTAAATCCAACTTCATTTTCTTTCTTTCTTTTGAGGTAACTGCTTAGCTCATGACAGTTGTATGTCTGCTCTTATGAATGATCTTGTTTTGCACCCTTCAGGGGATGTTCAGCCTTCTCTGACTTCATGCAAATTGTTTCCATATATTGCAAAATACGTTATTTGATTTCTATATGAGGCACTGAATAACACCGTTGCTTCTAATCAGCGCTAGCGTAGGTTTTTCTAATCATGTAGAAAATCGGTTAATTAGGTTAGATTTTTTGCTCGAGGAAAATTCAATGGTAATACATTTGCGGTTACGAATGTTCGATTTTTGAGAAGCTTTTAGTTACTTTTTGTCACGTAGAAGTTTGGTCATTTCAAAGTTTGATTTACCATGAATGTTAATTGAAACTGTATATTATCCTATGAAAACTTACGGGTTTTTGATGTTTTTCGCTCCAGTATCCAGCAAAGTTTTCAGCTTAGCGATTTACCACCAAGATGTTGAAGCCTTATTACTTTTACGCTTACCACAATACCATAACTGCCAGTCATTTTTGGAAATTGTCCACACTAGTTCACAGAGCTGATGTATTAATAACTCGTGTGATACTGATGATCATATTCAACTTTTCCTATGAATTGAATTACAAATAATCCCCCCTGTACTTTTGTTATATTTAGTCTTGATTATTTTTGGAACAAATGAGAAAATCAATCAGCTACAAACTGATTAGGATATATAAATCTTTTATGTAACTTTTTAGTACTCCTTTGATTTGATTTCTCTTTCTTTATTGAACGGAGATAGTTTAATATTTTAAGTCCTGTTTGAGTTCTGTTTAAGAAGCAAGTGATAGCAAAAATTTATATTTGAAATGTATGGATAGATGGTGGCTTTTTAAACATTAGCGGCCATCTAAGCGATATTAGGTTTTCTTCATTCTTATACTTCGTAGTGGCACTGTGTTGTATAAAATGTTTATAAAATCTCATCCAAGCTATCCTTAGTGGTTTTTTTATTTTTTCTTATTTATGAAGAAAACATGGTTTTAAAATGATATTTAGTGTTTCTTGTCGAAGGAAAATTTTATCAGCACAATAACTATTGTTTCAATCAAAAATTGGATAACCTCCTAATTCAACAGTAATCCTTACAACACTAAAATACACATTGAATCTTTTCATTGAATTTAATCCCGTATTTGCCAAACAAACGATTTTAAACAGCTATATGTATATTATTTCTTTTTTTTGTCCCTCGGACATTGTTCCCAGTATATAGTCCTTTTAGCAATTGTAAAGTTTTCGAATTCATTGTAAATCTAAATTAAACGCATAATAAGCCAAGACTTGCTCTTTTAATGCCTTATTCGTAGATAACATTGCTATCTTTTAATACGTCGTCAGTTCGTCATGTCGCTTGGTAAAGCGTGCATAATCATCTGATATGACGTCCACTTTGTTACATGTGCTGTTTTTTTTGTTTTTGAAGTATGCTTTAATGATCTTCTGGTCCATGAGTCATTCCCATCTCTATCAGTGCCTTTGGTGCGATGTAGTAATTGGAACAGCATCTTCAATTGCTAACTACACCTTTGGTCGGCCACAATTATTTCGTCTTATAATGTGAGAGCAATTGTTCCTTTATGACCATGAAGAGAGGTAATCACAAACAAGCATCAAAGGCCTTTTCCCTGTGTGAATGCTATAGTTTAATTCCGCAAGTTTTGGTCCTACTTTGTGGACTCCCCCAAGGGTAATCACTGAGTTTCCAAGCCACGCTCGATTTGGTTGTATCTTTGTATCATTTTTGTCACTGCCGGCAAACTTATTGTATATTACTAGTTTTGTTTCGCGATGTCTTTTAGACCACACAAAGTTTTTTTACGAAAAGTTCCATGTTACCTACAAATAGAAGAAAATGGTTTGCTTTATTATCCGGAGTGTTATGTCTTGCCAGGATAAGAGAAGCTGTTTCCAAAGCACCGTGACGTTTTACACTTTCTATATGTGTGTTATTAACAATAGAGCACTTTTGTGAATCTCTTCTCTCTTATTCCTCCTCTGAGAGAGGATTGCACGGGCCTCGCTGGTTGTATATAGATGATCTGCCAAAGTTAATTCATGAAGTCAGTAAATAGTCGGAAGTATTATATGAAAACTAGTTGTTGGGTTGAAAAGTTCTGAAAATCCAAGACGGTATCAATTCTATATTAGAATTTGCAAAAAAAACAACTAAGAAAATTCTGTAATACCTTTTTGGGGTGGGACAATGATTATTCTGGTCTTCTATGTTATATGCATGATCCTTTATGTAGGACGAATTCCTGCAGTTAGTTCTTCGGACGTTTAGGTTATTTGCGCTTTTATTTAGTGTTACATGATGCGCTACGATGTCTACTTATCAGTTCCAGACAAAGATAATTTTTTGCGATGTTATGAATTAGTCTGCTGATTTTGTAGTCGATTTTTGTTGGAATCGGGTATTATAATTGTGATGCAAAATGAAAAAATCGATATGGCGGTTTGTGTCTTGTATAAGGTAGCTTTGAGTATCATATCTTTCATGATGGTGAAGCAATGTTGTGTGTTGTGAGTAGGTATAGTCCCTATTGACAAGGTGAAGAAACTAATTTAATGTTTACAGCATGGTGTTTGTGCAGGAAATGTTGATTACCAAGTGACGCACGAGACAGTGTGATTGCTTTTAATTAATCACTTTATAGAGCCTAATGTAGAAGTATTAATAAGTATAGTCGGTATGTATCATTGATTGGGTGCCAAACCCACCTCACCTTCGTCCCTCTCCACGCTCGGACCGCTCCCCCCTATGCTTGTAATCCCACATCTATCTACATTCAATTAATTTTTGCTATCTCTTAGACTCAAAACATTAATGTTACATTTGTTCATATAAATCAGAAAATTATAAAAGATTTATATATCCTGAAATCAGTTTGTACTGATTATTTTCATTGGATCAAGCTATAAACAGTCATTATTTGTAATCATTTGGAAGTTGTAATCAATTCAGTTAAACTCAGTCTGTGAATAGTACATTTCCAATGCGTGCAGTTTGGTGATTTGGTAGGAAAGAGGCTTCAACTCTTAGTATTCTGTTGCTACAGTAAGTTTCATGGATAGATAAGGTTCATTAACTCATGGTAAAACAACTTGACTTGGACACTTGTCAGTGACAAAAGTAACCTAAAGCTCTAAACGACTGACCAATGTCTTACATTGAATTTCTGAGAAAAAATCTACTTCCAGTTTCTACATGTAAACATGCTCCTTGAAGCATGTTTCGGTCATTGAAATCAACTAACGTAGTTTGCATAATATGGACAAATTTATGAAGTCAAGGCAGCCTGAAGGGTGCAAAATCCATTCATAAGAACAACAACTGTCATAGCTACAGTTACCTCAAGAAGAAGAATGAAGTTGGATTTAGTAGCTTTTTAAATCTACACTACTGAATAAGCTACAAGTAGCGCAAATAATTCTATAACATTTACAAGATTGTAGAGAAATTTGTAGCTCAGGTGGATGATTGTGGTGGAGTTTCGTCTTCTCAGCTGGATCTTTTGGTTGTGGAGCTTTCATTTTTCTTTTGAACCACATCATCAGCACAAACGTCTACGTGAAGGCAACTCTTTAGTTATTCGCAAAGTAAAAGTTAATTTGGTTTTATCGTTTTTGTTAGATTTTACTGAAGAAAAAAACCATACAACTAGCTCCCTTAGTAAATTTAAACTTCGAAAATGTTAAGGTTTGAAGAATAAGATAAATTCATCTTATTTAATGGCTTCCCATCGTCTACAAGATACAGATATATGACATAACTTGTTTATCTCTGTCTTATTTTGATGAATTTTGGTTTCATTTCAAACATTCATTTAAATGTCAATGAATAAAGCCGATGGGAAGACATAAAATATGATGAACTTATTCTATTCCAGAAACCTTCTTTTCCCTTAACTCATTTTATGAATTCCATGTTAAACCCAAAAACTTTTCATCATTCTATGAACAAATAAGCCTTTCATCTGCACAATACTAGAAAAATCATCTAGGTAAGATATTCTGACTTCGGAAAATTGTGAATCAGCCTAACAGTTGACAATACTTGTACTCTTTTTTAAAACTATGGAGTTATTGAAATATGCTATATTGTAAAAAACTTCCCCTGACTAAAACACATGAAGCTACCATCACGTATATGTACTTTTTGAGCATCGTTGACTGTGTAATTAAGTTGGAAATGAATTTGTTTCTGCCACGGTATGTAACTATCATTTGTAATGAAGTAGTAGTCTTCATATACTTCAGATTGCGATGAGTGATTTCGAAATGTTCTTTTTTTCAGCATAAATTATAAATAAAGAGTGTATTATTATTATTTTGTATATTTTTTAAAGACTGCAGGAAATACTGGTATAGTGAATTGTTGGGATTGTGAAGCAGGCGAATTACTAGGAACATTATTTCTGAATGACATAGTAAGAAATCATACTTATATTTGTTGTTATTCAACATTAATTCATAATTTTTGCATTTAATGCTCACCCAACTAATGTGATTTAAATGAATTCAAACATTTGATTCATGTAATTCTTCATAATTAAAATTAAAGGAGTTGGATTTTTTTTAGTTAAAAAAAACAACTAAAATATCACTTCTGTATTTTTTTTAATTCAAATAAAATGTATTCTCTTTGCACATCTAATTCATCATGTAAAATTTAACTCATTCATTAAAGTGTAGTGTAGATTTTATAAATGACAAGATTATATTCTACAAATAAAAAAAAATTTGTTGTTTATAAATTCGATTTCTAAATTCTAAAAAGCAATCCTTTCAAAAACATAGAATTTTAATTATCTTACGTATAATTGAGAAGACCGAGGTAAGCGAGGAAGAATGTATTTTGCAAATTTACACTCTGGGTCAATTAAAAACGAAAACATTACATTGAATACTCTATTTGCACACCATCTTTGAGTCGTGACTTCCAACGCTTCATCCTTCTTCCATTCCTGTTGTTGCTTCCTTTTCTTCCTATTGGTACTCCATTTACTTCTTGCTTTTGCTCCATTTGCTTTCCGTTTTCCTCTTCTGACCGTGAGACTTCTTCTTTCACGTCCCTTCTTATACTACTTATATCGTTCGTATAAGTAGTACACACCACATAACCATTTCATAATTCATAAAACAATACCGAATATCGTGTACTTTTAATGCAGAATTACTATTTTCAATAATTCGAAAAGCATTATCCATTTATTTATTTATTTGTTTCATATATTTCGTAAATATTTCAATCATAAATGGAGCTTCAATTATGTAAGTAAGTTGCACTAATAGTAAACCATTCAGAGTGTAAATTTGAGATTTTACGTACTGCATATTGGAAAAAATAATTTAATCCCTAGAATATCAAAGAAACAATTGCTCATATCTAATGGCTTTTTCATTTTTTATAAGTTATTTTAAATTTCTTATTCCTCAGAATTCACAGCAGTATCTTTTCACCTAAAACGTTTCTTGATATATAAAACTTGACATATTTTTACTTTCCTTTGATTCCTTTGTTTGTTATTAGTAAGTATGTCTACTAATGTTCTTTTGAAAACTATTTTATGATAGGTAATTGTCAAACGATTATTTTCCAAGACACGTAGTGTTCTGAAGAGAGACTTATCAAATAAATATGCTATTAATATGATGGATTCTTATGATAAAGCTGGTTCATCACTGAGAGGTGACTAATGTATGTCAAGCTTTTCCTAGTACTGATCGAATTCTACCACCCAATTTTCAGTGGAACTACTAGTCTAAATGACTTAACATTGTGTACAACATGTTGACATGTAAGATTGTGTTTGAGGTAGTCAACAGTAAACGCTGAACTGTCTGACACTTATCAGCAAGGCACCGTTCGAGTCCTACATTCAGCACAGAAGGATGATTCGGTATTTGTCTAAGAATTTTTCTAGGTACCTAGCGTTTTTTACTTTTCAAAGCTGTCAGAAATCCAGCTGTAAACCATGCATTTTTAAAATAATACTTGGTACAGTCTTTTTAGTGGGTGACAAAACTCATACCTACTATGGACTAGTAAAGTTTAGTTAGTTAACGAATTTTCTGAATCATTATACAATACTGAATAAATTAGGAAAATAGAGCAGTAAACGGCCTAGTAATATTAGATGAGCAAACAGTTTATTTTGTTGAAACATGAATTTCTACAGCGTTGTAGCATGTCTATTCCAAAGAATCTTACTTTTTAGTAGCAATGTGATTCTTATTGTTCAAAAAAAATGTTTTAACAACTTACCAACATACCGTATAATTTTATTTTCCCTTAAACCAGTGTCACTGTATGGTAACTTCACCAATTTTGCCTTTGGCAGTTGCTGGAATGAATTCTGGTCGTATAATATTTATCGACTTTACTAGACCCAGTTCACCGAGAATTGTAAATGTTACTCGACTCTATCGTAAACCTCTGACACATATTGCGTGAGTGTATATTATAAAATACTTGTACATTTTTGTCAGTTTATTTTAAATGTCAATATAAAAGAGTATACCTTTAAATTTTAGATACAGCTAGGTGAAGTGTTTATTTTGAGCACAGAAGTAAAAAAGATACTGAAATGATTTTGATGCATGTTACTTGCTTCAGCACAAGCACGAACTGACGTTTTACTCACTAAAAGCAGGAAAACATTCTCATGAATAGATGAATGGAGAAATCAACGAGCTCACTAAGTTCGATCTCTAAACTATCATATCATTTAAACAATTAGACAAATAAATGTAAGGGTTGTTTAGTAATCAATGGTGAAGTTTATGAATACTTTTTAACTTAAGCTACTTGGTGCTGACGAAAATGTTAACATCTAAAAAGATGATAATCTGTGAATGGTTAAAAAATTAGATTAAACTTAGAATCGTCATTACCAATTGTAGAATTCTTCATAATATTATTTCATCAAAAAATCAGTTAATTACCGTTCAACATACAATAATGGTTTTCACAAAACAGTTAATTTCGTGATATAAATTGTCGACAATCGAAAAACAAATTACAGATAACAATTTATCGAACATAAAAGTATATATATATATATATATATATATATATATATATATATATATATATATATATATATATAAATCTGAATAATTAATGCAAATCACAATTCGCCAACTAAATCACTAGGATAAAGGATGCAACTCAAGAATTTGACATGCATAAATATTTTATGTGAAGCATCTGAAAATCAAAGTATTGTTTTTGTAAACAGAAATATGGTTTTTGTTTTTTTTCATGTACTCAAGTTTGGCTGTGGACGTCTACATCGAAATAACAATGATTTTTATTAATTGTTATGACAATGAAATTATTCATTTATTCTATTTGTAGATAATTTTTGTGCTCCTGTGCTTCTCTCTTTTTTTGCATTTGACTGTTATGGAATTTTAGATAGAAATAGAAACCGATTTCTGTATAAATCGGTTTGGTTAAATGTAGTTAGATGATTTATTTGCGTTTCATTTCATGAATCACTCCTACCAGAAAACATTGGTTGGTATGATAATTTTAGAATTTAAGATGACTAACATTACATTACCTAAGTTAACAATTCATCTTAAATTTTTCCAGTAATTTGTCTTTATTTTATTTTCAGATTCGAGCCCAATGGTGAATTTCTAGTTACAGTAATAGATAATGGTCCAAGTATTTTGATGTCAGCATTACCTACCAAATCTTTCGAACCAATAGGTCATGTGTGTAAGTTTGATGTTATCGCTTTCGAAATAACGATAAATATAATATCAATTCAAGGTGTAATGATCACAGCTGTTAGGTTACACCGGAAAAGAAGCACCTGTTTATAAAACTCTCTTATGAGAGCCTAATTTCAGTCTTATAACCTAACTACAACATAAGATAGTTTGTACTGTTGTAGTAGATGAAACCAAGTGATGAAACGTTAATCTATTTTTTACTCTAGGTTAACATAAGAATAGGCGATTGTCAAGTTACGACGACTGCAGTCGATCATATTTTTTGTTGATTTAACCATCATTTATGAAACTTAGTTCAATTATTTTTGTCATAGTGAGTGACTATACATCTATCTCGAAATAACCATATTAATTAATAAATCTTTATTGCTGTAGTGAAGCAAAACTATATAAAATGTAACTTAAGTTTTCAAGACTCCTTAGCTTAGATTTTATGCATGAAATATCCAAATGCTACACATCCTGTTGCAAATACAATTCTGTTGTTACCTTTAAGTAATAAAACCTGGTTTTCTAAATTTAAAACAGCTAGTAAGGTGAAGAATACTTTGACTAAATTCAACTTCCTCAGTATCCCATGGACCTATCGTTAATGTTAAAGAAACTTACAAACTTCAAAGAAATTACTCCAAATTTATGCTCGAACTTTTTTTAACCGATTTATTCAACTGATGATAGTGTCAGGCAACCAACTATATCATTGTGAAACACATGATATTTCTCACTAGAAACAAAAATGGACGCTAAAGTTCGAAACAGCTTTTAGAGATTTTTATATAACGACAACTGAAGGTCATCGATGAGGATTCTCATAATTAGGACTGAATTTCTTTACACTAATTTGTCTTGCACACAAGATTATGAACCGTTATGGTATACATACCGTACACCTCTTTATTCCCTGAATGAAATATATGACACCCTATGACCTGTGTAATTATAATAATAAGGGGTTGTCCAACAGTATATTCTGTCGGCTGAATGAATTCTTTATGGCTTCTTTTCTCAAGGTTTCGAACTATGTGCATATATGGTACACATACAAGGTCGTTAGATGTAAGGTTAACTCTTCATAATAGAAATTATATTTGGTTTTAATGCGAAATTCTCAATGTTTATACTTCAGTGAAAAATTTCTCCTGTGACGCTTGTCAAGTCATAAAAATGTCAGATAAGAAATAAACCATTCTCAATAGATTCAACTTCAATAGCTTTTACAATCCCACCATAAGAACTTAATTAAGTCCAGTTTAGCCTTAGTTCCTAAATTTTTACAACATTACAATATATATCGATCGAAATTAGAAACCGTAGAGTTTACCGATGTGCTTGTTCACTGTAAATAATTTTTTGCATATATTTTCTTATATTTTACAGCATTCATTGGTAGGGTACATAATTTAAACATGATTCGATCAAACGATTCACAGAAAATTTTTGTGCTACTCGCTGTTGGCAACGAAACTAATAAAATAGCTGATGCTGTCTATCAATACGAAATACCGATTGATATTGGAAGTAGTAAGTCATAAAGTCTGGTTTATGAGTAAACTTTTATTGATAAACATTATAGTTATATAGTTGTTATTTTTTGCTGATTTATTGAATCAGTCATTGTTAGACAACCATTAGAAACCTGGAAGCACTGGAAGGCCGTTTCATTCTCGCATAGGACTCATTAGTAGTACGCGTCCAAGACTCCTGCTACTCGCAGGATTCGAACTGACGACTTTTGATCTTGCGCGCAAATGCCTAACTTCCGGACCAGTGGGCCGGCATCCAACGTTGCTAATGTCTAACTCTGATCAATTTAGTGATTTTGCGCGACCTTACCCGTTTGTTTTCGATAGTTACCGCCTACACCCGACAGTGCTGAACTTCACTGGTCACATCTCACTAGAACTCCGAGATTTCCTTCATGAAGTGTTTTCATTTTTGTCTGAAAAATCACCCCGAAGATATCAAGAAATGTTATCAAAATTTATTACATTAGCTTTAATCGAATTTTCCTACATAAAATATTTAGCTAATAATGAACATTATTAAAGAAATTTTGAATTTTCTTCACATAATATTTATGCTGATGACTAAGTGGTATAGGTTTCACAAAATATTTTATGAGGCTCAAATGTAATTTCTTTTTAAAAAATTACTTGACATGCTCATTCTCGTTAATTTCACTAATATATAAACATCAGATAACTATTTTCTATTCGACTTTTAGACAATGAATTAGATTATCTCGATAGTTATCGAAAGTTAAATGAAGACAAAATTCAACTTATCAAATGGAATTTTCACAGACCAAAAGTTGGTGTCAGTTATTGGCCATCAAATGACACATATTACTCCACATCACCATTATTGATTGCAGCTGATTTTCAACAGCATGCATTGGAAATATTTTGTATCAATGAATCACAAAAGGTAGTCAATAATAATTCATAAAATATCCTAATAATATGAAAGTTATTAGTCGAAATTAATAAACGTTTACAAATATCTAGTCTGCAATTTATTTAAGTATATTTCTGAGATAGAAAATCGTCATATATCTTCTTGTTCATGAAAATAACCATGATAAATCAGGTTTATTTCGTAGACAACCTGTCGTCTATCCCTATTTTTTTAAGCGACATCACTAACGTACGTAGATTTACAAAATGTTCATTAATCTCAAAAAGAGAAGTTATATAATCTGAAAATTAACCTCATTATCTGGGTCGTAAATGTGTCAGGTCGATCATAAACCGAATTCGCTTAGTGATTAGTGGAGTCTTTCCAAATATGTGCAGAAAAACGTTTTATGACATAAACTGTGAAAACCATCTCCTTAGAGCAAATTTTTCTCTCAAAAAACATATTTTTGAGTTGAAAATAAAGTAGTGAATTATTTAAAACAATTAGTCCCTTTTATAAATTTTGATAGCCAGGGCTTCCATAAATTATAAAGTTTTTTAATCGGGAATATTTTGTGTGTAATTTTTACTGTGACAGGTAATTTTACTCTGTTAGTTATTATTGTTTGTACACTTTCATTTGTTTTTCCTTTCTCAGCAAGAAAATCTGTCACATATTATTACAGAGTACACTTATGACATTTTGCAAGAATCGAAAAATATCAAATTTACAAGAGTCTCTGGTACTAATTCATTATTAGCTTATTCTATGGATGGATCAGTTCAAATTATTAACATAAATGAAACGGTAAGATAAATATTTCATATTATTTTGGAGTTGATTCATAAGCACAATAGAGTTTGATAGTGACTAGTAGTTGAATAGAAAAAGCGCATTTCATCCTATTTGGGGTTTTGCAATTGGATGAACTACCTACTACTTCTCAGTGATGATGTTCAGACTGAGATTTGAACCCAGTACCTTTCGCCTTAAACCCAGGGTGTATTTTTCACCTGGTTGATAGGCTCAAATAGTGACTGACTTGCAACTTGCTTTTATTTGAAAGGGTTTAGATCTTCTTTTTGTTAGTGTTGAGCACCGAAACTAATAAGTCTTTTTTGGTATATATGTATCATGAGCTGTTTGCCTCAATATTGCTAATGAGTCACATGTATTTTTAAGCATGGCTTTTACGTTCATATACGACAGAAGGGACCGATATATTTGTATTCTTTGACATCTAAAATGGAAAGATTCAAACCATTAAAAAGGAAATCACAAAATTGTTTGTGCAGACTATTTATTTTTTAGTCTAAATATCTTACAACTAAGGTAGATCAGATAAACATTAGAAGAGATAAAAGAATATTTTATTGCTTTTAAAGACCGAATAATAAATAATACAGAAATAAATTTTCGAGACATTTAATACCATTATCTTTGAGAACTTATTTATGACCAGACCCAAACAATAGACGTTTAACCGGGATGATTCAAAAGTTGGATCGAACATATTTTTCATCCTGAACTGACACTAGTTAATAAGTCAATAGAAGTCTGGGAGTCCTAGGGAGATGACTCGGCCTAATTTTTAAGACTAATCAGCAACGTGCCCTTTCTATTTTAGAAATAAGGGAATTACCTATCGATATTATAGTGTGACTACCGTGTTATAATGTCGGTGGAAACTGGTATACCTTTGAATTACTCAATAAAAAGTAAACTGACTGATATATAAAGGTACAACAATAATGAGTAAAATAATTTCCTAAGTTTTCTTCTGAGTAATTTTAAGATGCAAACAATTAATCTGACAATGAACCACTAAAATATCTGTCGTAAATTTTAAACCAAACACTTTAGAATTCTCAACTAATTAATATTACCCTATTGTTGTTCGTATCTCTTCAACCTTAGTGCTTATGTTCAGTGACGTACCTGCTTAGTTGTATAATTCGATCTTATTATCTATAACCCTTCCAACCGCATTCTACCGTTTAAGGAATTGTGTAGTGTAACAAAATTTCGCTTGTAATGGGTAACATGAGTTATAGCCACTATAGGGTGTTTACATTATTACAACGCAGAATCTATCAAAACAGTGAAGCTCTTTAATTTTGGGAACTCAGTTTGCCACTTAACATGTTCTTGTAGTTAGTCTGGGGACATTTGATAATCTATCATCATAAAAAGTTACGTTCTCAACTAGACACCAAAGTAAAGATAGCAGTTGGTTATTGTCTAACCACTTGGAGATAGTTGATATAAACGATACTTTTATTTCAACTTCATATATCAGTTCTGGAAAATAAACTGCTAGATATAGTTTAAGTTCTGATAAGAAAAACTTTGGATTTTACTATTTTACTATTTTATTGGTGTTTTAACACCCTCGTATTTATTTTGGTTCCTCAGTATATATATCTTTTAGTGTTGATTTGATCTTATGTGGTACTATTTACACTGGATGTATACTTCAGAAATTTTCTGATAAGCTTACATTACGGCGAAATTTAGGTTTTCAATAACTTTAGGTTACTCTTTAATCATCAAGAATGTTTTGAAGTGGTTATGGCTTAAACATTGACGTAAAAATGAAATCGATATTCAGAATTTATCAGTTTTGATCGCTTTTCCAACTAAGTTAGAACTTACACTTTGAGGTTCGTGACTGCGAAATACAATATGACTGTTTTCCATCAATATCTATTTTAATAATAAATGGTCTCAATGAAAAATGTATTTTTGATACGTGACGACCATTCAACTTTATCATAGCTAAATAGAGTATGCATATTTTTTTAATCTTGCATTGATTGTGAAGTAGTTTATTTCATGTTACTTTGTAGATATTATGGATGCAGGGCAGATATCGGTTATCAGTTTTCTAGAAGCACTATTCATTAACCATTAGGGTAAATAACTATGCCATTTGTTACACAGGGCAAACAACCATCTACCTAGAATAATACTTTTCTTGATTAACTCAGTTTTTAAGTTGCATATTACTGAACTCGTTAGTCTCGTTACATCATTTTATCAGATCACTTATAAAAGTATACTTTGTTCATAATATTTTTTTAAGGTTTCACTTCAGTGTTCTATGAATATTCATGAATCCAATTCACGTGGTATAATTGGTGCAGAATTCTGCAAAGATTTAAACAGTTTAATCACATGTGGTGGTGATGGTTTATTAGCCAGAGTTAAATTAAGGTAAGTTTTGGCAGGAAATGTTTGTGATTTATTTTCATTACCTAAGTCAATCTACTTTTACGTCAAGTATAACGGATCCATTTTCGTGTAGTAAATGACTAAATTTTTAATATATTGAAAGTTTGAAGTAAGAAAGTAATCAGAACCATTTCGTTTTATATAAATTAGGCATTTCACTATTCAGCTCATTTCATTTGTCCAATAATTTGCGGGACTAATGTAATATAATATATAATCTAGAATAATTTCAATAAATCTTTTAAAGATTATTAGATTTAATTAAATATATCTTCAACAAACTACTGTCTATTTATATTACTGCTTTAGCCTGGTAATATTTACACTCATAATGAATATCAGGACTTTTGAGTTATTACTAACCCGAGATGAAATTTGCATCACCTTTCAGTGGGATTTAATTTTCCGTTTCTACCCACTTAAATAGAAATTCACTTATTTCCTTAACGAGAAGATCATTGTGCTTCAGGTTTAGATTTAAGAATAAGGATCCGTTTTAATAATTTGCGATATCACATTTCTATTGGATCTATTAAATGATTTTGATGATCAATTCAATTTCTGACCGATATTGATAATCAAGCAGTTTGATGTCCGTATGAAGTTGTTAAATGTATACCTGAGGGATCCTGAAAGCGTTATATTTCATTATGAACCATATAATTCTGAACAACAGCAAGCTAACGCTCAACCGGAACCTCTTCCGCAGTCAGTTATTACTTCTTCTTCCTTCGGTGTTCATGGGTATTTTAAGGATCCTTTAAATGCGAATGATATGAATAACGATGCGCTAAGTTAGTAAGACATGTAGGACTTAATGTATGCCGTATGAGGTCTTCTCAAAGTATAAAATAACAACCTCCGTTTTTTTGGTATGATTTTTCATCTGAGAAAGTCATTTTTATCACTCCTAATTAATGAATCGAAATGTGAGTACGCTAACTAACTCAATATTATAACGCGGAATAAGTATTATTGTACCCTGTATGGTTGTTCCAGTGAGAAGTAGATCAGTTTCTCTTAACCATAAAAGGGTGAGTGTTGGGGATGTTAGGTCCCCAGAACTCACTTGGTAAAGGTCCTAATTTCGGGTTTTTTGTGTTTTCGCGCTAAGTTGCTCAGTTGACTTTGAGATTACGTTTCCCACTCGGAAAACCCTTGACTGCCATTGGTCGATGTATTATTTTGGTGAGCTATTTTTGTGGCTCTCCCAACGACATTTATGTCATGTATAAATAAACTCAATTTATGTGCTTATCAACCTCAGATTTTTGGGTGCTTTTTGAATACACTTTCTACGCTTTGTCAAGACTTCTTGATACAGTTGGCCGGGTCGGGGATAACGGATTAAAATAGCCTATCGTGTCACTGCATCATTTGTCTTCGCTCTTGTTTACCGAGTAGGGTGAACTCGTAATAGTTTCAAGCATATCAGCTGACGAGCACATAGTAATTTCATAATTCATATTGTATGCATAAAGTATAGACAATTAATTTATCATAACCTGTTTCTTTAATAATATAGTTTATAAATAACCTCAAGTAAATGTTTATTTGATGTTTACTAGCCTTTTATCAATGAATAAATAAAACGTTTTTGGGTACAAATTTTACCAAATACCTAATCAATTACTTACTTACTTACGCCTGAAATACCTATTCAATGATTCGAAGAAAATATGATTTGCATGTTTAATTGTACTTTTTTTCTATGTAAAGACATATTTCAGCACTGTTATTATTATTATTATTATCATAATCATTTATTTTTGTTAATAATTTTGAAAAAATATTTCGATAGTCGATTGTTTCTTGTAATTTTTTCTTAAATATTTTGTATTTCAGTGAAGGCGTGATTATGGAATCCAACGTTTGCTCATCTCCAAGTTTAGAAAATTTACATGAACAACTGATTAAATTAAAAGAAATGGAAAGTTGTGAGATAACACAAAATCAATCATCAATGGATGCTGATAATTCACCAACGTTAGTTCATCAATCTGGCACAGGCCTTACATTACCTAATCAACAAATATCGGTAGATTATGATGAAGATACTGATGTAGATGAGTTTTCTCATTATAAAAATGATACTGACTCAGATGTTAATACATGGATAGAATTGTGTCAGCTTGATGCTGAAGCTTTAGAAGACTTGTTTTACAGAGAAACAAAGACCAATATTCTTAATGAATTGGATGTGATCAAGAATATAGTAAGATTTTTAAGATATATATGCTTGGTATTGGTCTTATAATACATATTTAACATTAATTACCATGTTTCTGAGTTCCCTAACTCTATGTTATTTTTCCTAAAAAAACACCAAATAGGTTAATGCAATGGTCGACGAAAACGAAAATCTCCCTGAACTTCAACGCATTGGCAGGTTAGAATTTGAACTAGATATTGATGAACAAAATGTCATATTAGAGCAAACAAAGGAATTAGTTAACAAGGTTAGTAAAACAATTTCGCACACCTAAAATAATTTCAGATTAAGAACTTATTTGCCTTTCTTATATATTAGTTCATTTATGAAAGCGAAATCGGTGCTTACAAGGTCATAGATTGGTAGTAAGGTACAACGAGGTGAAACTACCAAAGAAAATTATTACACTATGATTTTTTAGAAATCACATTAGAAAATATGACACAATATGAAGCTTAGAGCTGTGTAACTTAGTCATTTGAATGTAAGCTGAACAGTGATGCACCTAGTTTGGTTTATATTATACAATTAAAGTGTGGATATGAATCAGTCCTATGATATTTGGTAGATGATTTCCTTGAAATTTCCTCAAATAACTATATTGGTTAACAAAATATAATAATGTATATTTTCATCTCAATAAATTTATTTATCTTTTATAATAAGCTCCGAAAAGAAATCAATTTAGGAGATTTAGCAAAACAATTTACCTGTCAAGCTATCAAAACTCAATGTTGGGATGAAATGTTTGTCAAGGGAAGATGTTTAAAAGCGTTCAATTCACCGACTAAAGTATCCAATTATCCACTAAAAGATTTGACAGAAAATGAAAAACAACTAATTCATACTGTAACTGCTAGAATGAAAATTATTCATACAGTAGCAAGAGAAAGAGAATTACTCTCCTCACAGTTATCTCAATCAGATATGTCAAAAAAGGTTAGCTTTACTCGATAGTTTTTTTGTAATACTAAGATTATCTAAAGTAATTTTTTATAGTTGGTAACCTATAAAAAGGCATTCTTGTAAGGCTTAATCACACTCATTGATATGAATCCTGATTTTGTAAGGAAGCTTTCTATTATTATCCATACAATTTGTGTTGACTTCTGGGAACTGGAGTAGCAACTAACACATGATCTTGAAATGTATAAATTTCATTGTTTCACTATTCAGAATATTATGAACATTGGATTCAACTGTAAATCCACTACTCATCCGCCGGTTCACTTAGAATTATTATTGATATTAACAAATAGACGATCTTTTTGATGTCTTCATACTTCACAAGTCTTCACAATTTTTAAATTATACATTGTCTTATACATTTTAGTAAAATGCATTTCTCCTTCTACTATTTATGTTACTTTATCATACATAAATTTGTCTTCTGTTTGGTAAAATTTATTCAGCCTTAATTGTTTTATTTAGTCTCACTTATTCATAAAGTAAATCATGTTTTATGCATATTTTATATCTAGCCTATAGACGGTAGATCATTTTCTGTCAGTCAATCTTATATCCTGCACTAATAAATGATCAATTACTGAAGCTATTATTTTATGCCCAGTTAAGATTCAATAAATAACATTAGATATCAGCAGAAAATGAATGCTTTTGAGATTGTTATTCTTTATTTTCCACTTCCTGTCATGGTCAACTGATGGCAGCTAATGAATTCTTAATAAACAAATATCAGCTACGAGGCTATATATTTCTGAGTAGTTGAATTGCAACATAAGGATCAGCAGCCATTAATGCAGCGAACACAAACAATAGTCGAGATTTAGAATGAATGATAAAATGCGTTAATTCTGTTCAGTTTTTAACTGTCTATCCCTAAAATACGTATTCCCAGTCTTCAATGAGGTTTGCTAATTCGTTCATTAAGCACACTGTATAATCACACGTAGAGTAAAGTTAAAACTTCGTAGATAAATGGTCAGTTTCAAGTTCCTGGTCGTAGATGATGTGTTGAATGACAGAAACCAAAAGAAATCAGTCTGATGATTTATTTCTTTACCTACATCATTTGCAGCCCAGTCAAAAACACAAGGAAGAATTAGATGAAGACGAGGAAGCAGAACAATCAATAAATCGAATTCTTGCTGGAAGTACTGGTATGTATGTGGTTAACGTTCCACCTGAAAAACTTTACTTTCTGAGCTTACATTTTTAAAACATGAATAAATAATTTTAATGCAATTTTTTCCTCGTTTAATGTGTTAAAAAGTCATAAAACATGAAAATCAAGACCACTTTACATTTGTGTTTGAATTTAGTAATTATGTTCTAAAATTCAGTTGAATAGTTAACGAATGTTTTATTCATAAAACAAGAAAAACTTTGGAAAATCGAGTTGTTTACAATAAATGGAACATGTCTAATAGTATTTCATTTTATATATCAAGACAAATTTCATCAGTAAATACAAAATCAACTAATACTTGAAATGGGGGAAATCACTGGCTCTATCATCCGAGTTACATAGGATAAATTCGATCTTATTCATGTTCGCCTTAACCATAAAGTCTGAACACAATAATTTTTTGAATAACTGTTTGTTAGTCCCGTTTTTATCAATGTATTTAGTTTTCAAGTATTCAGTTCAGGTTCCCTCTGGACTATTAACTTTATAGACAAGTCATAATCTAATAAATAGCATTCATTCCTGTGGACAATACAGTCAAGCTTTAAAATAATTAAAAATACTGAACAACTTTTCGTTAAAAGGTTGACCTAATTGCGTAAAACAAAACAAATAATTCCTTTGGTAATTTAGATAATTCAGTGAGATGAAGTTTATCAGAACAAAGCGATTTACTCGTATGATACATTTTGAATAGACTGATCGTAAATTAATTTTTAGGGTTATTTGCATGAGAAATGCACGTTAAACTCAATGAAATGAAACATTAGAAAAACAAAGGTAATAAGAAAGACAATTTGGATCTTATTTCTCAGAATATTGAATTAAGCAACTATTAATTGGATAGGTATAATGAAAAAACAAACTATTTTTGAACATAAGAGATCTTTGAACAATCTTATGGATAAGGTAGGTGAGTACTACTGAAGAGTTTCAAATTAAAATAAAGTAGGTATTCAGTGTTCCATATATTTCAGCTAGAGCTCAGCTGAAATCGAGTTGCAGTGGAAGTAACCTACAAATTAAAGAAATCTTTACAAAACTCTCTTAACTAAATTCAGAAAAGTCGCTTCAGTTAAAAGTCAGAAGCAGAGGATTAAGTACATCGTGTATTGCTGAGTCTAACCATGAACATTATAAAAGATCGAACTATCTGACTAATTTAAACAGCCATCTCAACCATATTTAATCTGTTCGAAATCACATCAGATACCCATACAAATCAAATGACTGATCAGCGCCACAAACAGCACTTTTCTCTGACTCATACACTATTAGATAAATTTGTCGCATAGTTTCATTCTTGACTTCAATGACATGATACTAGGATGAGCAAATTGGTTGTATGCACCAAATTTTCAGTCTAATATATTGTATTATTACAGTTTCTGTTATTTAATAAACTAGAAACTAAAACTTTTGAATAGGAAGTAAAATAAACAGCAGCGAAAGCAGAATCGATCAAAGTCAGACCACCACCAGAAACCTGGCTGATCAATCCAAAGATTTTGCGCGACCTCACTCATTTGTCTACGGTAGATGCTGCCTACACCCAACAGGGTTGAACTTCACTGATCACGTCTTCTCACTGGAACTTCGAGAACATTATTGGCACACACAGACGAAAACAGAAATCCATATCTGTTTCCCCAAAAATAATAAAATTTTCACTTATATCCAAAGTAAAAAATATACAGCAACCTCAATTTCCAAACTGAATTTTATCATTAATTTCACTATTGTGTTGCTTGTATTGCAGCTAGAGAAAATGGTGGAGCGATTGACCGTGGTTATGGTCAAATGGATTTGAATACACGGACGCAAAAGATTCATCAAATTGTTTTGATAAAAGTAAGTGTAAAATTTAATCAAACTGACTCAATGAATTATAGTTAGATTCATGTTTAGAAACATTTAGTTTCATCTAATAAATATTAAAAAAAAAAATTTGAAATTTTATTAATTTTGTAAAGAAATAATTTTTTACTGGTATTTTGTTGTTTGTACAGGTTAAAAGTGGTTAGTTAAATCTGTTAATGAAAATTAGAGAGAATTGTGTATATATAATCTTAACAACTCTTAATACCTTGTGACCTCAATTTGTTGTTTTATAGTTGAATAATGCGTATTCCATTAGAACTGTTTAATTGTGCTCCTTCACTTGAATTAAATCCTCTAGATTTATTTTACATATTTACTTGTAAATAATTGAGCAATTGGTAGCTATCTTATTAGAAAAATATCTTGGAAGCTAAAGACATGTTCATAGTTTTGAGTGCATTTATTTTTTGAAAAAGATATTCAATTTAAAAGCAATGTTTGGATTGATAATTCAGTGACTGTCTTTGCAAAATATTGATAAGTGTTTATGATTTACACTGGAATAAAACCTGATGAGTCTATGAGTACACGTAATAAATATGTTGGTTCGTTTTATAACCCATGTTAGGATTACAGCTTTCAGAAAACTTAAAAAACTTTTCTCAGAATAAATCCTACGTCCAGCAAAAATCATTTCATTCTATTTGCAAGCAAATAGTTTTAGCAAACAGTGGTTAAGATGGTCTGAAGCCAAATGAAAACTTTGAATAATGAACTTACATGATAACTTCAAGAAAAACACATGACAATTTACGAAGGAATATCTACTATTTATTCTGTGTTCGACAGCTATCTGAAGAATACAGTTGAACTGAACAGTAACTAGTAACTCTCAAATATGGAGAAACTTTTAATATTATCGCTAATTTCACTGTCCAACTATCTTGAAAAATATTTAGTTAGTCTGGCAAAATATTCTGTCTTATCCTTCGGGCTCCTTAGATATTTTGCATGATAACACCTGGTATCGATATTCCTAAAAATTAAGTTAGTTAGTCCCAATATTAGATTATCAAAATTAATCGATCGCTCATATTTCATTTTGGGCTGCTAAAAACACTTTACTGGATTCCTTTTAAAACGATCACCAACTTCTTATTTAAGTCAGAGGTCCAAAACTTTTTAAACTATTGTTTTTAATTGAATATGGAAATTTAATGTAGGATAATTTGGGATTTTTTTTCACCCTCTTAAATATTTTATATCTGTGATTGACTAAACAAACAAATTCATTTGAACAATGAGGAGACGTTGTTGATCTTTTCATCATTCTTTCGAAATTTATAAAAGGGACTAATTATTTTAAAATCCATTTGAACAATGTTGTTTATCATCTATATACTAAGTTTTTGAATTTGAATTAATGACAGTAATTAGGGAATTTTATTTTTAGTGAATACATGTGAATAATTTCTGGTTTATAAAACTAACTAACGATTCTTTTTCATTACAAACTTAAAATTAATGACTAACTTTTAGAATGCAGTTTATCGTATGAAAGAATCCTTTAACAAACAGTTCGATGAAGTCTATGAACAGAAAGCAAATTATCTTGCTACCATTCAAACGAAATTATCAAAAATACGTAAAATCCATACAGATCTTAAACAGTCGCACTTAATTAAGAATTTAATTAATCCAAAATTTGATCCTGACGAAGAACCAGAACAGTTATTCACTGTTACAGATAGTGAAATAACAGTGGAGAAATACTTTACACCTGAGCAATTAGCTGAAATCCAAATGAAACGATTAGCTGACGAAGAAAGAAGACGCAAAGAGAAGTTGGATAATTGGCGTGAAAAAGGTTTGGAACAAATGATGAATGGTGTATTAGAAGTTACAAAAGAAGATGAACTGAAAAAGGATGTGCCGAAACCAGCTTTCGTATTAAGTGGTAAACCATTAGATCAATGGACAGAGGAAGATAAACAAGCATACGCTGAATATGAACTTAAAGTCAAAGAGTTAAATGAAGAAAGAGAAAAACATAAAAAGGTGGAATTTTCTTTTATTATTTGAAAATTAAACATATATTGCATAGTTTAAAAAAGTTTATGTTATTGTGAAAAATGAAATGCTATCCAATGAAACTATACAAGCGTGAAACTTACACAACCGAAGCTTATAGATGTTCAATGGTTGGAAATTGTCGACAGAAACTTTAGTCCTCAGTTTTATGCTAGTCAATAATGTGTACCCGTAGTTTGGTGAAAAACAGTAGTCCCTTGAAGATTTTAACCAACGTCACCTAGTATCACAGTTTCAGGCGCTACCACTGAGCCGCTCGGTCAGCAACTGTATTTCCTTAGGACTCAGATGCTGTTAATTTACTGATAACTGGGTAGCGATCAGCATCATGTATTTCCAGTCGGCTAGGACTGTTCGAATTCTTCTGATCAGGTTTCATTGAGGTTGCTAGTCTAGGCAACCTAGCAGTAATTCAGCGATAATTTTGTGGTTTCTTAGTTATCTAAGAGATATTGTCGTACTCGCTTCGTCACTCTATATTTCTCTCTCTCTCTCTCTCTATAACTGACTCCATATGAAAGCTTTAATCACAAGGATAAAAATTATGATACTTTAGTGCTCTATTTAACTGAAAGACACTGACATGTGCAAAACTTTCATCATGAATCATATAACCAGTTATTGTCATTGTGCGTATCATTAACATGTCAGTAACGTCAGTAACATGTTCCTTTCACCTAAATATTCCTTCATCTTCCTTTTGACTTTTTAAAATGATGAAAACAAGTGTCAATAGAATTATGGTACAATTTCATTAGTCATTGAAGTTTACATTCACCGCTATCAGAATTTCTTATGATATGGTTTTTGTAAAATAAAATTTAAAAAAGTAACCATAAAATAACATAAGTTATTAAACCCTTGTTAGCTTCATCTCTTCTCTCATCACACACACAAAAAACTGTAATCAAGGAAAGAATGGAATTAATTTCACTTTAATTCTAAATGAAAAAAATCACTAGTTCATTATTGTATGACAATTATACATCACAGTTTAGTCGTACAGACAAATCAGTGTCAATTGTTTAGATTGATTATCATAAATTCATTTATTCAATGGTTCGTTTCAAAACTTATTTATAATACATCTCTGTTTGTATGTCTGGTTGTGTTTTACTTCAAACGAAAAAACCTTTTAATTAATATCTGTTGAATTTATTATACAAAAATATGGTTTTTGTTCACACATGGTTTGGTTGTAAATGTTTATCAATGAGTAGTGTCTCCTTTTTACAACATGAAATTTGTCAAGATAGAACTCTGCCATTAACAATCAATAGTACGTAATAATTGGTCCATTTCCATTGTGAACTGATATCAAATCATAAACTACTGAACAAATTTCTATAAACTAATTTCAATCATATGTAATTTAAACTATAAAATAATCATATTCAAAACTGTTTAAATGATCTAAATGATACAATTTGGACAATATAAGGAACTGCTTAGAATTTAAGATATACAGGTTATGAATTAGGCATAGTACCAGTTAAAGTTATATACAATGTAAACAGGATTAACAAAATTCTTCTAGAATAATATATAATAGAAAGAGTTGTTGAATGTGAAGTTACTAACCATTATTTATCCTACTCAATATCATCATTCAATACAAAATAATGTTTTTGTAATAATTCCTCAACTTTTCTATCAATACTAAGAAAGATGGATTTTTGTTGCATAACATGGTCTGAAATATTTTTTTGTATTCTGCAGTTTTTAGAAGGTGAATTGAAAAAGTTTTACAGTGAAATAGATGAAATAAAAGAAAGATTTGATGAGGAGTTAACTTCTCTATTCAACAAATGGCTTCATGTTCAAGTGGCTGTATTACAAGAAGAATTAAAAATATGGCGACTTAAATGGATGTTACTTATTGAAGAGGAATTAATTACTAGAGAATATGAATTAAAAGAATCGATTAATGAACTGTATAAGGAAGAAAGACAAGTGAGCTTTTCAGTTTTAATCTTTCTATAAGATATGAAATAAATATGAACCTACCAGGTGTCTAATGGTGGGTTTATTAACAATTTATTCACAGGGCGGCCAAACCGAAACATGACACTAATCCATACAGTCATTGACAACTAGACTTGATTCATGTTGGTAAGTGTAGTCTACCTGGCTGGAGTGCGCGAGATGTTAGTAATCGATGTTTAGAGACCTTGAATGACATGGCTCGAAACTGTTTGCGTTGGCGCAGGTGTTCTTCCAAATCCTAATCCTCTGCACTCTTCATCACTTTTATCTTTCTTTTTCTAAGTTTACTTCATGAGACTATACTTCTTGAATAATATCTTCGAACCCCAATTTCTCCTATTACTGCCCATACTTCTACTACCTCTACCACTATGGTATTTGGATTAAAAATTTCGTATCTGTGCTAATATGGTATGGGAACCTGAACTGATGTACGTACGAACGAAGTTCTACGTTGTAACTGACTGACTGGCCATAACTGTCTGATGAAATAATAATAAATAATTGTTTGCTTAAAAAGCTAAAGATCATTTATTTATAATTAATTAATTAATTAATTAATTAATTAATTAATGTTTTATTCTACCAAAAACACATAATGGTTACCACATTTTCGATGATTTACTCAAAATTCCAGACCACATATTTCCTATCTGCATTTATTTTATTCGTTTCCACTGACGAATTATTTACATTCAATGCATTGTATACCCATCCAGTTTAATTCGAAGCTTCAAACCTTATCACAAAGCTGATCGCTGTAAAATTTGAGTGAAAATATTTTTTATTTCTTAAAAAAACGAGGGTAGATTAGAATAAAATGTACTCATTAAATATATTGCATGATCAGAAGAGATGTCACATAGGATGAAGGCTGATTATAGATATTTTGGAGTGATAAAGCACGGCAACTAGTTGCTTTAATTTTTTTCAATTTACAAATTACAGGTAAATGAATTCGAAACGAATTTAGGAAACAATCAAGCTCTAACTTTCATTTTAAAACTTGCTAAAATAATCCTTTTAATGAGTTTGTATTGAATAAATGACGAATCGAAATAAGTAAATAATACTGGATACTTACTTACTAAATTAATTTAGATAAAATTTCCATATGCTCATTCAGCATTAAGCAATAGACCTTCATGGCTTTTGTAAAATATAATTACTTACTTAGGCCAATTTGTGAACTAAAGCTGATAATGTCATCGACTTCAATAATCAGCATTCAACGATCCTAAATGATGTGGTTTTTAATTACAACGTGTAACGTTTTACGCTCTCAGTTGATCCAACTTGCTTTTGGAGTGGAAGCTACGTCTGTTGACCAATTTTTAAAACCAACTGAACCAACTGGGAGACTCTGATCCCTAAGATTTACATAAAGTATCTGACCTCCTATCTTTCCCAGTCCTCAAGTGAAATGTTTGTTGCTAATAAGATGTACATAAATTTCACGATTTTCCCTTTACATATATATTTTCCTTCTTTTTTATTCAACCATAGATTTTAGAATTTCTAAAAAGCACTTTTTATTTATTTGATTGTTCTTTGTAAGATTAATGAAAATATAGAAACGGCCAAATCAATACTGGAGCAAATTCGAGAAGAAGTTGAAGTATTGTCTGCTGATGATAAATTAATGGAGAAAGCTGTAAAAAAAGAATTTAGTGATATACACGGACCGTTATATGATTTTATTGCCAAATCTTATAAAAAACGTCCAAAGTGAGCAGCCAAACCTCATTGTAAACTATTTATTAAATAAATATTCAAATTTTCTCAATACACAACATGGATCGCTCTTACTTAGACAACCACTGAGAAGCAGAGTCCATCGGAAAGCTACTTCGTCATACTTATGGGACTCAGCAGTATGTATCCGCAGCATCATTAGAGATCTAACCCAGAATTCTAGATCACTATTATAGAAGTTAGCTGTTCATTATGAGACTGAAATATCTTGAATTTGAACCGCAATAGTGATAATGATGCTCAAACCTGAGTCCAATTGTGGAACGAAACAAGTGGCTAATTGATGCTCCCTGGTTTTCTATGATTGTTTAACGAAAATCACTCTATATTGTAAATTATGGGGATTGAATGGTCTCCGGAAGTCCCTATGAAAATATTGAGAAACTGAAATGTTAAATATTTTTTACTAGGCGTATTTGTATTTTTATAAAGATAATAAATTTAATCTAAACACGTTACATGATATAATGCTAGCTAAAATATTGGCCTTGAGGATTCCAAGTGAGTGCTTGTCTGATGAAGCATTTGGGATTGTTTCCGCAATGTGTGTCCTATCCACTTTCAGCGCTTCTTCCTCATTTCTTGTTCCGCTGGAATCAGGTTTGTTCTCTTAGAGAGCAGATTAGTGCTGACGATGTCTAAGCAATGGATCAGAACTATTTTGCGTAGACATGTGTATTATTGCCTGTATCTTGTGAATGATAGCTTTGTTGGTTCTCCAAGTTTTCACCTCATACAGTAGAACTATCTTGACATTTGTATTGATGTATTGGTGTTTGTTGACAGATGTTTTGAGTTGCAGATGTTCTTTAATCGTAGAAATTTCGCCCTTGGTTTGCCAATCCGCACCTTCATATCTGCATCAAATCCACCTGATTCATCAGTGATGTGTTGCCCAGATATGTAAAGGTTTCTACATCCTCTGAAAGCATAATCTGATTAGAATATACTCGATTGAGATGTAAACAATGATAAACAGAAAACCTTTAAACACTAAATTACTTACCATGACTTAAAAGTTTCAGTTTTAACATTAGATTTCTGCACATGAAAGTAAAAACAGAATAACCAAACACTATCTTCTAGCTGGTAATGAAAGTTATATTCCAATCAAATTTTTATCTGAACAAGATTTCGGAGGCATCTCTTTAGGTCAATTAATAAATTAGGTTCGAGATTTATTTCACCAGTTTTGCATTACACGTTCAGTGAGTTGATCTCTCTAAGTGTAAGTTCCTACACTTCAACTCTGCAATAGCTTCAAAGTTTTGTATGTTGATAGATAGATGTTCAAGGAATACCCTGTATTAGCTAAAGCAAACCCATGAAGTACGATTGTCAACTTATGTATTCTCATATAAACAGCCAGCAACGTGTTCAGAGAGATAAACTCCTGATTTGATGTCACTTTATCTCTTTTTGACCATCATTTATTCTATATGAATGTGCCAGATAATCGATCTTTCTGTTCCATCAACGTTATTTACTGGTTAATAGAGTCTAATGTATGCACATCGAAACCTTGTTTTTGAAATAAAATGTAAGCTAACAAGATTGATTTTAAATTAATTTACAGTAACTGTGTAGTGTTAAAGCTTCTAGAATTCTTGAACTAACTGACCATTATTTCATCCGAAATTATGTAAAAACCACCACAAATTGTTTTGTTTCTTCTGACATAAAAACTCTGAACTGGTTTAAAATTTCAGTAGTTCGATCAAATCCGATTATAATTCCAACCTCTGTATACGTGATTTCAAATAAAAGGAACTTTCGTGCTGCTTCAGCCAATGAATTTTTCGGGTGGTAATTATCAATCAGCTCTGATGACATGGGTTGCTTACTTGTAGAAACTAACGTTTGAAATATCTGTTTCTTAACCTTCAAGTGAGTGTTTTATTCTTTACCTGGTACCTACTATAAATCAGACACATTGTTGTGTAATATTATATCTGTCTTTTTTCCAGACGCCCAATGTTACCTCATTCGGAAAGAAAGACTGATCATACTGGAAGTGATACACAATTATCTAAACAACTGAATCCATATATTGAAAAGATATATCAATCACCACATCCAGTTAAACAAATTAGCCTTATAGAAGAAAGCCTGGTCGAACTAGATAATGATCCGTTACGTGAAGGACATCTTGGATGTGACAATGCTATATGGAGTAGATTGTGTTCATTAAGACGTCGGAAGATTATGAAAGAGTTGGAAATTAAATTTGTTAATCAAAAGCTTAATGATGTTTTAAATTTTATTCGTGTAAGTTTAAATTTTTGCGTATTTTAAAGCTTTAGGATGTTTTTTACTGATGTACATGAATATCACCTCCATATATTCTATTTATAAATTAGATTGTCAATCTTCTTCAGGATTTAAACTTTTTAGGTGCTTTCATGATTTGATCAACATATAAGTATTCTCCCTTTCTACGTTTTTTTAAAAAAAAACTGTTCAACTGTTCAATTAAATGAACTAGTAAACTAAACTTTGTAGATTCTAATGGTCATAGTTATTGATAAGCGATTTTGTTTCAATTGCCTGAACAAAAGAAAACTAAGAAAATTTAGCTCATATTTTCCATCTTTTCTTCTGAATTGATGTTATCGTGCAAACACACTCTGATCATCGTGATTAGAACCAAGATCAGCTTCATTGATACAAGGAAATTCTTATCTAATACACAACACTTTAAAATACAATGCAACTTTGTCAAGTTTACTAATTTTTTCATGAATATAAATTATTGTCACTGGTTCTCAAATCTAATACAGACTGGCAAGGAATGCTAACATCGGGGTATTGTCTTAGCAGGTTACTGTTGTGTTATTTTGCGTGATCTAATATTTGATGAAGAAATATGTTTACTTTTTTTCCCCTAACCTTAAGCTCATGATGATATTCATTTTAAAAATAATTTAATTTCAAAGGCTATGACTACAAATAATCAATAGGTTTCAATTATTCGTTAACTGCTACTCAAACTATTTAAACATTCAATTTTAGTAATTATTGTGATTCGCACTTTTGTTTAATGACTGTATTTATTTAGACAACATGATGCTGACACTAGAATTCATCTATTTTGATTAGGTTTGAGTACCATTTATGGTTTAAATATAGAAATAATTCACTAATTGTTCACGTTACAGACTGACAACAGTCAAATGACTAACCAAGACCATGTGTACTGAGTAGTAGTTGTTCATTCACGGTTTTCGATTTCACAAGAACTTGCATATAGCTACTTTAAATTGTTCTAACATTGTATGAATCAGCTAACAGTTCATTTTGCATCAACCCGTTTAAGTTACTCTATTTTTCGCGAATCACCAACTAAACAATAAAGATTGTAGATGGACTATGGTTATTTTATTAGTGAAATTCAGGATTTACATTCTATTCCTTTTGGAACTTTTCGCTTAGATGTCCCTATCACAAAAAAAACCGGCCAAAATTCAATTAAGAATATCATTAATGAGACAGATCAAACCTCTCCTAGACACAATCCCTTTATTTTAAAAATCTTGTGACGATGATTATTATTTCAAAGCAATCTGCCACACAACAAAGATCGATCGGTATGCAGTCGGGAATTTCAACAATTAGATTGGTGGAACCGTACTTACTTAGTAATCTATACTTCCTGCATATATTACTTTACATCAAAGGCTGTTATTCGTTTGTAAGCCAAAATTTGCAACAAATATTCTTAACTAATAGCTTAATTTTTTTTGTGCTTAAAACGTATCATTAATTTAATTCAACGGTCTGTTTTGCAATCATCAATATGTTTTTTTTTTTCACAAGTTCCACCTTGGCAGTTAAAATGTTAACTGATAATATTTTTTGTATCATGTATAACTATCACATATGTTGAAAGTTTTAGATACTTATTTTTAAGACACACCGCTTGTAATCAATGGACAGATGCTTTCCGGCCTATCAATCCGAAATGCACTAATACTCTTCAATATTGAATTTTTTTATTTATTTTAGAGACGTGAAAATGACTTACAATCAATACATGTATTGTTAGCCGAAAGAAAAAGTCAATTAGATAATTTATTAAAAGATTATCATCGAGAACAGATAGATTTAGAATTACAATTATTAATTAAACAAGGATTTGTTGAAGTCAACATTAACCAATTACATTTAATTCATGATTATGACGATGCCTTATTGATACAAAGAGAACAAGTTGAAGAATTGAATAAACAAATAATCCAATTGGGTGAATCGAAAGTTTCATATATGATGAAAAATAAAGAATTTAAAAAACGATTTTATCATCTTGAATGGTAAGAGTACGAATATTGTTGTCATGGTTGGATTTAGAGATAATTCTATGAAATTATGAAATTTATCAAAAAAAACAACATGATTCATGCAATATAGTTTGAGTATTCTAACACATACATATCAATTAACTAAGATATTTTTTTACGAGAAACTAAGTTCGAAGTGGACAAATTAAAATAAGGATGGTTAAGAGAAACTATATGAATCCTGTCATTTTGTTTATTTAAATAATCTTTATTTCCAGAGTAGGTTTAGTGCAGTTTTACCAATGTTTCTGGACACACAACTGAGAGTATTATTTGAATTGACATTGAAACGACCATGGATTTTTTTCTTTTAGCCCTGACAAACAATGCTGAGGGTATGATCATTATTAACGTTAGAAAAATAATTGGTTATTTTAAGTGTTATCAAAATATGCACTATATGTCTAGGTGCACATAATTTTTCACCCTAATATATAAACAACATACCGTGGAACAGAATGTCTCTGGCTGTAACTACACTTCGATCTAAACTACGGATCACATAATGACTGGAGCACATTTTTATTGAAAAGGCGATCACTGGAATAACTATTAGGTTTATACTCATCTGGAAACAATAATACGCGATTATGCATGTCATCGATAAACTTATTAGGGATAAGAATTACAAACAGGAACTATTTTACCGAACAAAAAAGACTGTTGGTAATATCATCTTGACTGACCATTTAAAATTCAAAAAACTTAGTGATCAAGAAGACATCAATAACAAGACAGAATGAAATTTGAAATTCTAGGAATTTACATTTTCGTGTTAGTGAACACCTTTCAGAATGGCCAAGCGAAGGTATAGTGAAGACATTGAACAACTCAACACCGACCCATCCAACAAAAACTGGTCGTAGCGATAGAAAAATCAATCAACGGCAGAAAGTAATACCCATTCGGATTAAGAAATCGTAAAGAAATATTCAGTTCAACACCTCTAAACCTGACCAACCTCAGGGCCACTTAATCGATAATATTTTAAACAATAAAATGACCTGATTTGACTAGAGTACAACCGATCTTTCAATAAAAATTTATGAGAGATATCGACTATGGTAAAAAATGATTTAGTCGAAAAGAGAGCTATTCACTGAACCGACCCATTTTGTTTTAAATATATTTGTCCTTATTGTTATTGTCTTATTATTGCCTTCGTATTATTATTATTATTATTATTATTATTATTATTATTATTATTATTATTGGTTTAATACCACTATTCATCTCCTGAACAGATCAAATTATTTATCACTCAACCTACTTCATTATTTCCAATTAAATTTACTTAACCCTACTGACAATATAGTCTTCCACCAAACATTTCATAGTATTTGTAATTGCACTATTATTTCTCTCACCCTATCTATCTATCTATCTATCCATCTCACTCTATCCAAACCAATCCTAAGTTCATATACTGTTAATTTCAACTATTTATCCTGCCTTTTGTCCCCATGATGACCTTCGTCTGGTATATGATATTATGATATAAAGTATGCATACTATTCTGTTTAAGGTGTATGCAGTTAATGAGAAACAATGAAATAAAATGAATTCATGTTATTCTATCCATTATGTTGGCAGGTCTTGCTCTGTTTAAATTTATCAAAGGGGAAAGATACTATGAAATGTGATGTTGTGCACATTAAAAGTTAATCATCATCTTCATTGTGTATACCTGCAATAAGCAAGGAGTATTGTTTTAGTGATATATTGATTTTTTCTTTCATAGATGAAAAAACTGTAGATGAAATAGTAATTTTATTCTAGATTTAGTTCGGTTCAAATGTTTGTTACATCTTAACGTATAAAAACATTTAAATCAGTTTGTTATTCTGTTTCTAATTTATTGACAGTTTACTTGAAATATAAAATGTAACAGAGTGTGATATAAGTGTAAAACAAAAAGATTGCTTGTTACAGCTTGTAAGTGTTTTGTGTCAAATGAGTTGAAGTCGACAGAAACCAGTTATTTAAACGATAATTTACTTCACATGAATGATCTAAATACAAGTAACTTGATATTCAGTTGACATGATGGTAGTTCAAAACACGTACTCTATAAACGGGAAGTAACTTATAGGCTATTTTCTAGTTAATTACATGAACCATATCTACTGTACAGTTTTGTAATCAATGATTGTGAGATTTTTTTCTATACATTTTTTTGTATTTAACGCATATATTGTTCATGACTGGCTAACAATTTTTGTTGAGAAGTAGGTATTTACATGATTTTTTTTTAAAAAAAAATGTTGTATAAAGCAGTTTCATTTTTGCAATTTACCACAGAATACATTTTAACATTTCATAGATTTAAAATTAGTCAAAAATTGTCATATGGCAGTTATAAGTTTTACACAGGCGTTTGAGTTAACTTTTTAACATTTACCGCGTAAATTATAAGGAAGTGTCCATAAGTTTTCAATGAACTCTTAAGTTCTTTGAACTGGAATAGAAATCAGCTACAATTAAATGTAAACACTATCCTTTTGTAACTTAAAACTATGTTTTACAGTGTTTTTTTTTGTAAGAGTGATTGAAACATATTTATGTACTATCTTTGGTCAAATGAAAGAATCGAGTTTATGTGAACTGTCTAAATAATATCAAATCACTCAGCATGGTGTATGATATTTTCTTTAAATAAAACACTTGATATGAACATGTATTCATTGTTTCGATTGAGTGTTTGTTTATCTGCATTTCTCATTACTTATTCTTATACTTAAATATTTGTATACTTTAAAGGGAACTACGTAAAATGTTAATGCATTATGAAGATTTACAAAGCAGATTAGGTGATATACGAAGATTTAAAATAACCAGCGAAATACGTGATGTAAGTTAAAGTGATTCACAGACATAATATAAATAATTTTATCATTTTTAGTATCTTCAATCAAATGATTATGATTCTTTGATCAATACACAAATTACAAATGCTGAACGTACCATACAAATGATAAAAGAAGTAAGAAGCATTCTTTATTCTTTGTAATTAATTATTATTTTGATATTTCTTATTTACGACTCATAATCATAGATTGTTAGATAAATCTAAAATGACCTTAAAGATGTTTATATATATAAATTTTCGGATTCTGAAAAACTGCAATATAGTAAACCCATTTGTTGTATCAGTTCTTTCTTTATAGTTAGTCAGAAATATTACTTTTAAACAATTATCGTTTAATTCCTTTTGTTATCTGGATGTAAACAATTTGAAATTATTGGAATTTGTATAAACAGCTCTTTCAAATATACCTTTTATCAGTAGTCATTAAGAAAAATAACTGAACTGGAAATTGTTAGCATTTATCATAAAGCTAAACATGATTAACCTAGTAAAATATCAGATAAATAAAATGAGCATGTCATGGTGATTGTGAGTTAGTTCAAATCCATCTCTTACTTTTTCAACACTTTTACATCTTCATGTATGTACCCTTAGAAAGTTTTTAGCCAAAAATACCTCAGTTTTGAATGCATAGATGATTTGCTCATTCTTTTCGTTTACTATAGAAAATTTGTAGCTCAGGTGGATGATTGTGGTGGTGTTTCGTTCTCTGAGCTGGATGTTTTGGTTGTGAAGCTTTCATTGTTCTTCTGAACAACATCATCAGCACAAACTTCAGATGGAAGTGAAGTATTCGAATTTCTCCACATTTGACCTGTAGCTTGTTTTGCTAACCTCACTCTTGATTGGTTGCTGTTGACCTTAAAGCTGTCGTTGTTTGCACCTTTATTTTGATTTTATCCACCTTTGGATCTGTTTCTTAATCCTATGTCACCTATGATTTTACTGACTGGTTGATAAATTGGGTCAAAGTCGATGTGTTTGTTGATTGCTGATTGACCTGAGTGCCAAACTTCTAAAAATCCACTGGTGATCTTCGTCCTCCTCCTACTCAGCATTTCCACATAGTTCCAATCGAATGAATGTCCATAATTGTCGGTGTGTATTGATATAAGCGAAGATCAGTCATTTAGCTAAATACTTTCAATGAGGTGTCTCTAAATTTCTAACTTTTCCAGTAAACGTTTTTTTCGAAACAATTGATTAAAGATGACTAGTTGTTGTACCGCTGTCCATTTTCTATGAATCAAAAATAATAATTTCATAATCAATAATGTTTACTAGAATCACGAAAAAACAATGGCTCATAAACTTGCTCGTCTGCGTCAATATGAAATACATCAAAGTGAACAACTTCAGAAGGAGAACGAAAAAGCGAAGAAAGATATAGAAGAATGGAATGTTGTTTTACATGAGACGAAATTCATTCATCAACATAAACGTAAGTTAAGATAATTCATTGCAATATATGAAACTACGTTAGAGTTCTTTTATGTAATCGTGCAAATATAACTGTTACGCATGCACGTAAATACGTCTATTTGATCTGCTTAAACTATTACGAGTTTACCTTAGTCGGAAAACGAGAGCGAGGATCCGGCGATACGATATGCTACTCTAATCCGATTGCCCCAATCCATCACAAAACTTATCATTCGTTTAACTTATATAGCCATGAGAATAAAATAATGTACATTCCAGACTACAGAGAAGATTAGTTTTTTTAGAAAGGCGAAAAAGTAGCGATCAAAAACTGTTTTAACTACACTATGGTACATAGTTTATTCTCCATAGCGAAGTTGATAAAAGTGTATGTATTTACGCACAACTTACTGCTAATAAAACGATGGTCTGTGATTCGCTAGTATTTTTTTCTTTAAGAAAAGAAATCTTATCTGTTGATAAAAATATAAGGTAGCATAGTCCCAATTCTACCATTTATACCAGTAACATAAATAAGAATTGGACTGATGATTATTATTTCATTGTTTAATTTTTGAGGAAATTAGTTTGAATTAATTTAGTTAGTTATACAAACAGTAAGCTTATTAAAACCAATTGTTTCAATAACTATCATCTCTGAAAATGTATTCAACACGAAGTCAGTGGGCTATGTACGTGAAATTGGTAGCATTTCTGACCAATAAATTATAAAACAATGCTGAAAATATTTATAGTTGGTTAAGCTAGATTTGTTGAAAAACAAGATGAGAAATAAATGTGATGTTTAGTACGGTCAATTGGTTTGATCAAAATAGTCAAGAACAAGTATATTTGATTTGCTTGACTAATAAACCATAAATCTACTAGTCATAAATCACTAAAATATATAGTGTTAAAATTGTTTTCAGTGATAAGACTAGCAACAGTAGTCAATATTTAGCCTCAGACGGTCAGATAAATGTGACCGATGGAACATTAATTACAAAAGTCAGGAGGAAGGTACCTAGATCACAAGCAATTTGTTCAATAAATGAATAGCTACTCATAAGTAATATAAACAAAATATATAGATCTTTGAAAATCTTGAATGAGAAAATTTGAAAATCTCTTCCCTACGAGATTGTCTGAGTTAAGGAGAAGCGTTAAATGCTTCATGCAATGAATTACAAATTAACTGTAACTATAAGCAATTAAGTTCATTAGAGCGTGAAAGAGAGAGCACATTGAAAATTTAAAAATTGATTTTTTACATTTCTAGTATAGTTTTTTTTTTATTTACACAAGTATAATTACTCAGAAATTTTGGTTGGATAAACAAAATAATCTTTCAAGCAAAAGCTATACTTTTTGATCATTATTACATGCCAACTTTTAGGATATTGACGAAACCATCCGATTTCATGTTTTACTAAAAAACTATTAATTAAATCAGTTTTATTCTACTCATTATTATTTCTGTTAAGTTTGATTCACTTTATATCTCAGTATTAATAGTACATAAATGTTAATCGTATCCAACATTCTATTCACACTACAAACATCCAAAAAAGTTGGTCATATTTAATAAAAGCGTAACATTAAATTACTTGGACTTTGTGTTAATTTTGCAAAAAGTTGAAGAAAATCTCAGATGAAATAAGATGAGTACGTGAAATAATAATTAAAGCGAATAAAATTTCTGCTTTATGCCATTGCTCAAACAAAGTTTATCTCTTCTGTATTCACTTGATGGATTCAATGCATGATAATGCTCAGTTTGTTTGTTTGTTCGGTTGTTATTCTTTTTCACGTTGAATATTCAATGTTAATGTTTCATTAATTTTTTTTTTTTGAACATTCCCTTCTCATCATTTATTTGTTTGTGTGTTTGTTACATTGTTCGTTTTTACATTTTTAGATATGAAAAATGACAATCCTCAACTTCGACATAAATTATTAATTCAACATCAAAATATTACAAATAAAATTAAAGAACAAGCTAAAGAAATCAAAATGTTACAAGCTGAATTAGTTTATTTACGTCAACAAAAGTCGAATCTAACAGTATTTCATTGATTATTGCTGCTTAATGTAATATGAACAGTATTAGAATTGATACTAAATAATCTCATGATATTTATTGGCTTTCATGTCATCATCATTCAATAATTTTACATTGGAAAATGCATATTTTGATAGAAGAAAAAATATAGAAATATGTATGTTTTACAGCCAGCTACTACAAAGTTCATTGTGATGATCTGATGATTATTCAGATCTCTATTTCAATGGTTTCAGCATATCAAATGCCTAATCATATGCAATTTTTTTTACTTGACATTTTCTCACTTTTTCAAGGCTTTTTACACAGTATAAGATTTGTATTACACAATGTTTTTTTACCTTACTAAATATACTACTAAACAACCATGAATGAATACTGCTGAAAATATCATTAATGTAAATCTTAATATAATTTGATTAATAATATTAACTGAAAATCAGAAATCTTGATAGTTCAAGTTATAATTTACTGAATCTAGTTTGAGTATTATTGATTATTCAGTATTTTTTTTTAGTTCAAGAAATTATTCAACTGTAACATGCTTATTTTATTGCCTTTAGGAATAGTTTAGAAGGTCAGCAGCTTTCAATGACAATAGGAAACATGAAGATAAATGTAAACTTAATGAATAGACACAATATACAAGGAGTATGTAAAAAAAAGATACTATAACTTAATAACCAAAACTGTTGACTTTTTCTCATCCTAAAATACACTACAGTTTTTAGTTTTCTTAAGACATTACGTTAGACAATCAGCACAACTTACATAGATTATACGTAGAGTACATTTGATTACTGTATTGACAACGGTGTAAAATATATATTTGTTTATATTTCCTCGTATGTAAGTAACTGTTTTATTTCTAACTTCCGTTTTGGTAATTTATCACTCACCGATCAATAAGATGTGGATTGACAGTATCCGAGCTTGATAAGTGTTACATTGATATTTTTGAATATTATGTCTACGTCGTCAAATCCATATCACATTTGTTCAGACAGTTGTGTTTAGTAATCGATGATCTGATGTTTACAACATTCTTATAAAAGTTTGACCTGAGTTAAATAAATACGTTGTTGTTAACTTTTCGTTTCATGGTTAGGCCATATCAAAACACAATCAGATTGAAATTATGAACTAATCATTGTTAGACCACCATTGAAAACGTAGAATAAGAACATTCTTCTGTAAACATCCATGATCACACAAACGAGGATCAAACCTAAGACCTCCGGTCCCTCACGCAAACACTTAACCTCTCGACCATTGAGCCATTATGCAACGGTGTTTATGTCTAACTTTAATTTAATCAATTCACGATATTTCGCGACCATCATCCATTGTATCCGGTGAATGAATGCTTCACATCCGATACGGGTGAACTCCGCTGGTCAAGGCTTCTCGCTAGAACTTCAAGAAATCCCTCTCGAAGCTAGCCATTCGTGATCACATGATAATTATCAGTATGAAGTTTGTGGAGGTTGTTGAGTTCTATTAAAACCATGAACCGACCAATATTAGAACACCGTTGGAAACTTGTAAATACTGGATGGTCATTTCGTCCTAGTATTAAACAGTCTAATTATAAATAGAAACTTTTTTGATGTGTCGATGGCATAAAAATATTGCAATTAATAATATTAATGATTCATACAAACCATTTATATGAAGAATCATATAATATGTTTGTATTATGGTAGTACTATAAGCTACAACTGAAGGTTCGAGGGCGAAGTTGTGCTGTTGACTGTATAGGAGTGTGAGGGCAGTAAGATGATTTCTTCTGACAACTAGCATCTACAGCAATGTTCGTTTCTCGAAAGGAAAGAAAGGGGTTAGGAAAGGTTGACCCCAAAAATGTCATCTCTCACCTTACTTCACGGATTTCCGTCTCTAGAAGTAAGTTCTTTGGAAATATGTAGTTAATATAATGAAAACTCTCCATAAAAGGTCTTTGAGTGACCGTGCCTGAATAGTTGTTCCCTAGGCTCGGTAAGATCACTAGCCTAGTTTCATTTTCAAGTCTCAAGAATGATCACCTTTCTAGTTTGTGGGCAATCAAGAAGTGACTGTGGTGGCCAATGTATCACTAGTCTTTTGACGGTCGGTATCCAACGTGTTCCTAGACTTCGTAATTTGTTCGTCCAGACAATCGTTACTAAGTAGTGCCTGACGGTTTTAAATCAGAAGGTGAACATGAAGAGTTGAATACGTTTATTTTGGCCTACCACATATGGACCAGCAGACCACAAGCAAGTAGAGCAGGGCAAACACACTAGCGAGCGTATTGGTGCATGAATTAATAAAGTTTAAATGTTCATATATATACATAGAAAAATGTCTGAATCATCGAGATATTTAAAAGTTTAATATTAAAGGGAATAGGATGAATATGCACGTAGGCGGTAAGCAATATTTAGTCGTACCAGCTCATACAAACAAGACAATAATAATAACCAATGGTATGTTGCTATGCCAATGGCTTGGTTAAATAAATTAATCGAAAGGCTTAACCAAATTAAATGCAAGCGAACTCAAATGTATGTGGAGGCGCGACATGACAACTATCCTCATACTTCTGATTACACACGAGATCATCTTGTTCACAGTCAAATCGATCCTTCACCTCTTAAAAATCCTTAGTACAACTCGTCCTCCCACATCTCTATCACCAGATTCCACTAATACTAATGATTCGATTTCACGAAATGTTAGTTTTGGTTTCCTCGAATTTACTGTAAACTGTATATTGGAGTGTTAAATGTTTGAACCTTGCGTCATTTTGAAAAATAAGCTTCCTTAGCTAGGATACTTAAATCTTGCGCAATCGATTTATGTTGTGTCTCCAAAATATGTATTCAGGGTTCAAGCACGGTAATCCATTTAAAATCACCTTTCCAATATAAAGGACTCGTATTATCTGTCATTATTTTTGCTGAATACGCTGGCAAAATTTAAAGTCTTCCTACAACTTTAAGCTACAATGCAAGCATATTTGAGATGCGACTTTTTCCCCCTAAACGCTAAATATTGCTTCAGAACCGGTCCGAGTTAGCGCTAGAATAGAGCGGATCGGGTCGACCGCTTTATTTATCTTCAGAGTGTCATTAGTCTTGACGGTTCAGTGTCTGATGGAATTTCAGCACGGATTCAGAAAATTTGACTGGCTTTTACAACGTGAGTCACTTGTAGTGTAGGCGAAATATCTGTCTGTCAACCAAAAGATGATTTTACTGCGCAACAGCTCGCTCCTTTTTACTTATGGGTATGAAATATAACCATTAAGAACAAACGATATCCATATGCTATTAGTATTCGATTATAAATTTCGTCAAAGCATTGCTCAGTGTTTTGGCACCGCCGAGTAAGCAATGTCTATGATAAGGACAGGGTACTAGGTAACTAAAGTAAATTGACTGAAATAGTGAACTTTCAGAAGCTGAAGTGGCTGAACGTTTATCATAGATGCCAAACCTGGGCCTACCTCAACATATACTGTGAAGTGTTGAAGTTGATTGAGCCAGCCAAACCAATACATAGCACCAGTCTATGACAACTGAACTAAGTCATGTTAATAAGTGTAGAATGCCAGGTTAGGCTTCATATGATAATCGGAACCGGTGGTAGGAGACTTTGAATTGTATAGTTCAAAATCTATGGCTATAGCGAAGGTGCATTTACTCCCTGTATTCTCTAATATTCTAAGTTTCTGTATTCTTCACTAGTTTATTTCTTTTTCACTCGTATCTTTGGTGACTAAACTTTATCATTACTACTAACACCGTAAATATCCCTACTACACTGGACTTTACCCTAAACACTTCATCTCGCTGTTTCAATTTGTTATGGCAACTTGAATCAATGTGCAAATGTACCAACTGCTACTCTGAACTAACCTAACAGAAAATTTTTTAAGAATAGGTATTTAGTTGACTACAACAGAATCACTTAGAAAGATGCACTGAATTTATAGTCTTAGGTATAGTATTATTCGTATTGCGTAAAGGAATTTTTCGGAACAAATTTTGAAATGATTTTCCAGAGAATGTAATGTCACGAAAAGATGAAAGATGTTCCACAAAGACCGTTTAGTTCAACACAAAAAACTTGTTCCGAATAACGAAAGGTATCATTTCTAAGAAACCTTCTCTCACAGTTTTCTACAAGTATCATACAATGAGATTTGTTCATCGGTTTGTACTTAATTTAACCTTCAGAATTATATTCAGAAAATACTCTTATAATACCACGTGTTTTTTTTTAATATATGCCTTAAGCAATATTTTGATTGTTAAAAATTGGTTTGTTTATTTAGCATAAACTAGATTTCAGTTCGTGCCTAAACAAGGAAATTCACACGATTAAATCAGTGACATGTTTTAAAAAAAACAGACAGCATTCAACTGTTTTTAGGAAATAATTATTAAACTGCTCACTTGTCATAGATATTTCCTTGATTTGGCTGAAGAAGTATAATAAATGAAAAGTTATCATTAATTTTATAAGATAAATTCTTTTTATTATAGAGTATATTGCTCTAAAGGTACATCGTCATGCTATGTAGACCTATGTATGTTGGTTATTTTGACAGGCAATGGAGTATAGGCTTTTGTAAATCTACGAATGTCATCATCACTTTAGACCGTGTAAGTAGCTTGAAGTTCTTAGCGATCTGTTGTGCATAAAATATTATTTTCTAAATTTTATTCAGATAATTTGAATATCCTGAGCTTGTTTTCAACCGTAGAGACTTTATGTTTCACTTTGTAAAGAATTTTAGTGTTACCTCTTTTATGAAAAACCAAAATATCAATGGAATTTATCGTTGACTACTTATTGATTAATGTTTGTGGGGCAATTTTCCTGGGATACTAACCTAGTCAAACTACATTTTATAGAATTCTTTGTGTCATGAGAACTGAATGTTTATAACAGGAAGTAGATAATCAACATCGCTACTTTAGTTAAGATTCAAAGAAAAATTGGTTTGTCTGCATAAGTTTCATAC